TATAGATTTTTCAACTAAATGGAAATTCTACTTACCTGAATCTTTCTCATGCTCCTTCGGCAAGAATAAGCGAGATTGGAAAGAGATTGCTTCTTACCATTCTTGCCCTTCTTAAGAAAAATAGCAAAAAAATAAAGAGTATTGATCCCGTAAGACAGTCATTTCTGAATAGGATATATTGAATTTAAATTCATCATTTAGAACTCTTTTTCTTTGATTCTTTTGCTTAATTCATGCTTGTCACTTTTAACTCGAATTCAATGCCTTACAGAGGCTTTTCAGTGATTCCCTCTACTCCATTCTACACGCCCTTTAGTGTAGATATGGAGTTTGGCCCTATTGTTTAGATCTTGTGCCGAGTCAGATTTTCAGGATTTTAGAGCGAAGAAAGGCCTCTGTGAGCATCCAGCTCAATGCCCTCAGTTCCCCTTTAAGGGAATGAAGCCCAGCCCCAGTCACACAGCTGGCCAGTCTTTGAGCCAGAATTCTGACCCAGGTCAGTTTTCGTTATCCTTTGTTTTGTAGTTGCTTGATTGTTTTATAGGTATGTTTGGTTTTCCCAGCTAGAGGATTTGTCGCTGGGACACAACTCTTCTCTTTATCCAAAGATTCTTCTGCACTTCTGTGTTTAGAGTAGGCAAACTAGAATGCCTGGGAGCCAGCCTTTCAGAAGCAAATGCCAGTGATATAAGAGTACACTTAGGTCTAGTCCTATTTTAAAAGGGTCTCCGCTTTTCATTTTAGTATATCTAAAACACCTATACTCATAAAAAGGTAATATGCTAATTAGACCAGATGTCTTCCGGATGTCCTTCCGGACAAAGCCGCAGCGTCTGCGAGGGCAGAGGAGGGCCGGCAGTCATGGCTGACAAAGAGCGAGGCCAGAGGCAGCAGCGCCTCCCGCAGAGGAAGGCCAGACTGTGGCATAGGCCCGCTTCTCATGGGGATTGGGCCTTAGCCATCAGTAGGACATCCCCTTAGGGCTCCCAGACTGTGAGAGGGGGCAGGCCTGGCTGAGGGACCCCCTCCAGTGCACGGATTTTTGTGCACCGGGCCTCTAGTGTTATATATTCATCTCTTAGTACAACTGATTTATGTCTCTATTAATTAGTGACTAGATAAAATTGTATATTCTGATTACTTGGAATTCTGTGACAAGAAGCTAGGTATATATATATATCAATATCAATATTTGATAGGCTCTTCCAAGTTTTCTCTACTTGTTTAATGCAGAAGAACTTACTTAGAACAAGTAACCTACATTTAATCTGGCCATATATGATAATGACATTACTGTACCCCCACACCACCCAAATTGAGACTTCAGTGCGATTTTTATGTTTAAAGAGTGCTACAAGAAAGGAAAAAAAAAAAAAAAAAAAGCAAAGAGAACCATTGACTTAGAATAGCCTAATTGAGATGTTGAAGTCTTCCTTTTAAGAGAAAATTGTGAAGTGTAGGAAGTGTTGGAGGGATACATAGAAATCTTGTAGAAAGGTACGTATAGACTGATTTCTTGCATCTTTGAAATCACTTGCCCGTAGGATTTGTCTTTCAAGCCCCTGGGGTAATTGAATGGCAACTCTAAACGTCCACAAATCCGAAAGGGGACTAATTCAACCTGATGGCATGGCTTCTGCTTGTCATACAGATGCCTCACAGCAAACATGCAGGATCACAGACATTTGGCATCAGAAACTGCTCTTCCTTCATGGTGATGCGTGGTGGCTGGCCTAACCCACTGGAAGTTGTAGTGAGGCTGTTTTTGTGGCTGGACATCATGGTGCCACCTGACAAGTGTTTATCTATTAGAGCTCCTTCTTGCTCCTGACATTTCTTCATTGTCGGATGTCACTGAGCACCATTTATGAGGCTGCCATATGGGTATTTCTTAAATATTAAAAGGTGTTCATAAAATAATGTACACGCATTAGAAAGTCATAGAATAGTCAAGTGCTCACCGAAGTTTCGTTTGTAGAGTGGAGAATTTAAATTTCATACACAGAATCCTTTCTGAGCCTTGCTTTGGGCTGGGTGCTGAGGATTAGAGCGAACGCCTGACATTTTGAGGCAAGACATTTCATTTCTAAAGGAGGCAAAGTTGGATAGACTGATGATTGTGACTTAGTAGTAATTACATACCATTTATGTAATTAGATTTTTTTATTTTTAATTTTTAATTTGAGAAGGATTCTGGGATCACCTAATTCTAGAGTTTCACAAATAAGGAAACTGAAAAATAAAACCAATAACACATGTGATAAACTATCTCTTAACACATATTTAGAGCATGAAGAACTTGATTTCCCGCTTAGGAGAGGGTCACTGCTAAATCTGTGTGACAATTTCATTCACTCAGTGGAGAATTGAGAGGTTCTCTGTTTCGCACTCGAATATTGGACAGGATTCAAATTTAAGTCAAGTGTGTCTAGAGGCTTTCCTCATACCTATTCATGCCTTTTAGGCGGCAATGCTTCATAATGCCCCGGTTTCATGAGTTAATTTTAATGGAATTATATTTGAACAACTCAAAATTATATAATTAATTTCATTCAGCTTCAATTAAAGTTACTAATTGAATAAGCCTACTAGCACGACACCTGGCGGCAGTCAGCTCCATAGCAGTGATAGCAGATTACCGAACGCTGGCCTCTGCTGATGAGAGATTTCACGTGTACAAGTGAGTTTATAGAAAAGCCTTTTCTGTGGATCATCTCAGAAAGGTCCTGAATTGACTGCTGCAGTGCCAAGATATCTGGAGTTGTTTAAAAAAGTAAAGATTTTAATTGAAAATAGCAGATCTCAGGAAGATTACATTTTCTCCATGATAATGCTGAGTAAATGTTACATAAATCTAGAACATATTGGTTTAGCATGCTTCTAATTTATATTTTACTGCCATCTGAAAGTGGTTTTGCTTACTAAAAATACTAAGCCTTGAAGACCTTGTTTTATTTTCTTAGTTCTTAGCCTCTGGATTTAGTCCTAAGTCGGTGTTCCTCCGTTTCCGCGTCCTGAAATGTGTTTTGTATCGGAGTGTTTCGGTTGTTGTGAAATCCCCATGGTGTGTGTGCAGGATTTTTTCCGCTTTTAATGGGGATGTTAATACAGTTGACTAATAACTTCTGTTTGAATCTCTTTCCTTGCTTCCAGAAGCTTCTAGCTTCTCTTTGTTCTTTGATCCTTTCTAATCGGGCAGACCCCACTGAGACACTTCTTTTCACATGTCCCACTCTTTTGGGGAGCCTAGTCATGTGGTTGGACTTAGCAATCAAATTTAGGAAAACGACTCTTTCTAGCTGTAACTTCATTTGTGATTTGCAAGTTCAACTATCTTACACTAAACTCATCCACTGGACTGTAATCTCCACGAAGGCCTGGGTTGCATATCCTAATTCATTGTATCCCCATTGACCAACGCACTGCCTAAACATCAAATATATATATATATATATATATATATATATATATATATATATATATATATATATATATAATTTTTTTAAATTCATACATTATTTTCCTGGTCTCCAGGTTTACTTGCAAATCCACCCCAGTCCCCTCTCCCAATGATCTGTGAAGCCTCTGGTTAGTTTCTCACACCCTCCCCCCTTTCCCATCTTGTTATCCATTTGGTTATTCTCTCATCAACTTCTACTGGCTCTGCCGAGTCTCTTTTCTTCTCCTTACTCTGTTCTCCCAGGGACTCCTATAAGTGATTTTCAAGGATGTAAGTGCAGTGGAATAGCCCAAGCACCCCTCCCTAAACTGAGACGGAATCTTTGGTGATGGAGCCTGGGAATCTGTTTTTTAAAAAGCGGCCCGATGCCGAGACCGGTTTGGCTCAAGGGATAGAGCGTCGGCTTGGGGACTGAAAGGTCCCGGGTTCGATTCCGGTCAAGGGCATGTACCTTGGTTGCGGGCATATCCCCAGTAGGGGGTGTGCAAGAGGCAGCTGGTCGACGACTCTCTCTCTCATCGATGTTTCTAGCTCTCTATCTCTCTCCCTTCCTCTCTGTACAAAATCAATAAAATATATTAAAAAAAATAAATAAAATAAAATAAAATAAAAAGCGGCCCGAGCAAGTTAGGATGCAGTCAGGATTGAGAACACTAGTGTATACACATGTACTAATCTTCCTGAAGTATGACTCTGATTAGGCCATCCATAACTTTTCAGTGGCTACTTTTGCTCCTCTTTCTTGCTTTTAAATTCGATCTGCTAGTAGATTTCTCACCTAAAAAGATCCATTCTATGTCTCTGTTCAAACCTTTATGAACTGATCTCCTGATGTCCCTCTTAGACTACTTTAGTCCAGAGTTGGGACCTTGGCCCAAGTCTGCTATTGGAGTTTGCCCACACTCTTTTTCACCTGGATTGGTTTTTCTCCCATCTTTACTTTTAGAATTCCTCCAAGTCTTTTAAAGACCATTGTTGTGTTTCCAATGAGCTACTCCTTTTCTTTACTTACTGGCGTTCCCCCCTGAGAACCCATAAATCCATATATAGATTCCTCATCCGAAACACCGTTCCTCTCTCAGGCCTTGACTCCTTCCCAGATTTCTATGAAGACACTCTGTGCCTCCTCACTTCTTCAGCTGCTATCTCTACCCCTCATTGGACTCTCCTCTCCTTTGGTGCTTTTCCTACTGCTCCCACGCTATGGACTTACTCCTTTTCATCCTTGATATAACCTTTTCTTGTTTCTCTGACCTGGCAGATCACTTACCATGTTCTGATGATTTGCTTACAGTAATCTTGACGGGATTATTTTTTCTGTAGACATCTCTGTTTCTTTAATGCTAGGCATGTAGTAGATGCTCAATAAAAATGTTATTGAGTCAATATGTATGCAACAGGCAGTAGAATTACTGCTCCCATTTTCTTACATTTTGGCAGACTCAGAAGCATTTAGAAAAAAAATCTATAAAATAAAAAAAAGTAGAGAAAGATGTGCAACATTTAATGATGATAAATATATGTTTTTTTATTTATTCAGGTAAATGTGAAAAAGAAAATACGGAGAGAGATATAACTCATGCCACGAATAACTGCTTCACACACGGAGAGATGCAAGACCAGTTCATGTGGGGAAATTGTTCAGAGGACGAACTCATCAGAAGTAAGTACTGTTAGAGCACATTGCAGTGGTTTGGGGATCTAACTGTGATGATATGCTCTGAGTTAATTGTCCCATATTATTTTGCTGGAAATCTATAAATCAGAATTTTCAGAATTTATCTGAAAGTGTTTTCACTAGAATTTTACAATAATAGGCCTATGAATGAATTAAGATATAAATAATACTCTCTCAGTTTTTATCCTTTCTTTAGAATTTATTGAGCTGTAAATTTGGACTCAGTTCTTAGAGAGAGTTAGAGAGTACTTAATTCCTATTTGAGTTGTGACTAAGTGAAAGTCAGACAATTCTAAGTGCCTATGCCAAAAAGATAAAGACAGCTAAAGGACAATAAGAATACTTTGGTGATGCCATTTTAGTCCCTGTTCTTGTAAGTCAAAGGATTCCAGACTTTTTTTTTTTTTTTTTTTAATAATTAAAATGTTTATCACTCCTACTTTTTTTTTTTTTTTTTTTTTTTCCTTTAAAAAACATTCTCTTCCTCTCCCAGAGATTGCTGTGTAGAATGTATACAAAAGCTTTGGCATATTTTCATTTTATTCTGGGATCGTCTGGAAATAGCGTTATCTTTTGCGTGCTATTTAGAATGCTTATTTCTGTCGGGTTCTCCTCTGGGGCTCAGGTTCTGGTCACTGGTGGGTTCAAGGTGAATTGACCAGATAATGAATCGTTCTTGTAGTTAGTGAATAAGTATGAAAATCTGCTATGCCTAACCTGGAAGAGCATAGGAATATATATTTTGGAATTCTCCTTCATTGCAACCACATTGCCATGTCTTATTCTATTCCCAGCATGGACGGAGGAAAAGAATTCTTTCCTGGAAATTAAGCATTATTTTTAATTTAATTCTTCACCTCAAACACCATCATTATATAGACCCTTTCTTGTGTTGCATATTACATTGAATTTGAATCTTTGAATATTTCTTTTCCTCTCTAGAATGCCCATTACCTGTCCTTAACTGAAGAAAGCAGAAACAGGAAAAAAACAGCTTAATAGAAAACATAAAGTAATATTAGAAACACTATTGAAGGAAATATAAAGATTTCAAACAAAAACTCTAAAAGTGAATGTGTTTTAATTTAACTTTAGGACATTTCTTTTTTTCTTTTTTAAATTTTTGTCTTAGAGAATGGAATGGAAAGGAAATCAGGCTCAGAAATTAATAAGGAGTGCCCTGCCCTAGCTGGTTTTGCTCATGGAGAGAGTGTTGGCTGCAGACTGAGGCGCATGCGGGAGTAACCAGTTGATATGTCTTACTCTCACATCAATGTTTCTCTTTCTCTCTCTGTGTGTGTTTCTCCCCCTCCCTTCCATTCTTTCCAAAAATCAGTAGAAAAAATATCCTCCGGTGAAGATTAAAAACAACAACAACAAAAAATTAGGGATGAGCCAAATTTATACAGCTTTATCCAAAGAATCAAATAACCATTATTTCAAGTAAGCGTTTATTCCCAAAACATATATATGGATTGTCTACCATTTAAATGTTGACTCTGCTGTTATGAAACATCTTTTTTTAAGATATGGACAAAGTCATATTTTATCTGGGATTTTCTAACAACCAGAGAGTTAGTGAGAGCTAGAAGAGGTCTCAGAAACAATTTTATCTCCACCTTGGGGAGCATGATTGTTTTCTCATTTTATTTCATAGTCACAGAATTTTAAGTGTGTGTGTTTCATTTAATTGATTTAATTCCCTACTCTCCCTTCCCAAGACCCACATAAAAAAAAAAAAAAGTGAATAAGAACTCTTAAGACAAAAACCTAAATACAACCACTATTGCATAAGGTTTTGGAGAGTCAGATTTAATGTGTTAAAAAATTTTGTGCTATATGATAAAACTTATCGTAACAGAAATTCATACCACAAATGGAATGGATTTAAAAGAAGTACTCTACTGCCAATATTGATTAAGTGTACAGTGATAAGACATTGTAAATTTCATGAAAAAGATTAAAAACAATTTTTTAATTGAAATGACGAAGCCTGGACACTGGAGTATTTGGGGACAGTTGTGTAGTTTCCTATTAATATACATTGAAGGAGTGCAGACAGAGAGAGAGAGAGAGAGAGAGAGAGAGAGAGAGAGAAAGAAAGAGAGAGAAAGAAAGAGAGAGAGAGATGTATTACCCCATCTAAGAGGGCTGCTGGGAAAACTGACAGGATATTCAAAGGCTAATGGCCAATGGCAGCAACGCCGCTCCTTCCTGAAACATAAGCTGGCAATACTTTCTAAATTTATTTGTGGGTGACCATTGGACTCTGAATTCTGCTCACAAATTTAAAAAACGATCTTTTTGTTATTTTCCTGACAAAGGCGATTTTATTGGGTCTACAGGAAGGATTTGGCATCTGCCTATCTGGATTGGCCCAAACGGAACATTGATGTCATCTTTAAGCCAGACTCCAGTATGGCGAGCATTTGAAAGTCTGATATTGTGATAGCTTCAGCTGCTCCCGCTCCTTGACATGCAGCCTTACAAAGCTGCCGACTTTCCTTCTTTAGCCTCTCCCAGTGTTTAGTGTTTGGCCCTCACCGTGTAATTTAGTGTTTGTCTCTCTTCACCCTGCAGTTAGGGAGATGTGTGTTTTCCTCTTGGTTCAACATCTGGCACAGTCTGCGGGCCCGCTAAATCTTTCGTAATGACAATAGGCCCTGGAAAGAGGGCTCTGGCTGGGAGCTGCGTGGGGGGGAGGGCAACATCTGCGGTGAGTCAGGATCAGACTGGCTCCCGGGTCAGGAGTCCTGCCTGGAGCCCCAGCCCCATGGAAGAGGCAGGCGGCCGGCTGTCATGGAACTGATTGCAGTGTTCCCGCGGCAGGCAGTGGGAGGTTGGCTGGCTGGAGGGATCGCAGGAAAACGAGGCCAGCTGGGGTGCGGGAACACTGTCAGATGCACAGCCCACACTTTTTCCGAGCTTCCAGGGACAGCTCAGCTGCCTGGGCAAGAAGGGAAGGAGAGGGGCCCTGTTTGATGTGACTTCTCTTCCTCCACCTATTCCGGAGCGTGGTTCGTGAGGGCTGACAGCTAACATCTCCTCGTCCCGGATGCCCGCTGCCCGCTTTGTTGGGCATTTAAGGCATAATTTATAGGGGACTGTTAGCTGTCAGTGAGATGAGGCTGTTTTTACTTTTCTGAGAATAACCAACCCCCAGCTCTGGAAAGTCAAGGGAGTGGCTGCTTTGGAAATTGTATTCTAATTAAAGGGTGTATTCTCAGGCCTCATAAAGGAGATCCAAGCTGAGAATAATTTCCAAATTATTCTGTGAACTTTAATCCTGACCTCAGCTGGGCCACCCACTTGTGGCTCACATGTGGTTCCTGCTCCACACAGAAGTTCAGGCCTGTGTGCCTTCCCTGGTCCTTCTAGAAAACATCGCAGGTGGCAGGCCTGGGGTACTGTGCTCTCAGGGCCCGGAGCCCTAATTGGTTGCTCTTGAGTTGCTAATTTATTAGAATTCTTTCTGGAAGCTATAAATAAAAGAGAGGAAATCCATGTGGAATCAAACATTTCGAATAAATAGGCCACGCATACAATCTGGGCAGGGAATGTGCATTGTGATTCTCTTTCTTATGAAATTTAAATTAAAAAGGTAATCCTAACCACTCAAGTTTGTTGAAAAAGCAAACACACAAAACACCTAAATTAGATCAGTAAAAAAAATAGCAGCTAAATTGAAGTTTTGGAAGACTTTATAATTGGAAAGTATAATTAGAAAGATTTATTTTTCATTGTGAATTTTCATTCTTTTTGCAGTATACGAAGCATTCATATTCTGAGAAAAAATATTTTCCTGTCTAATTTAACTTCTGGAATGGGGATTGCATTTTGGGGTTTATAAGGGCATCTTTCAATGGGAACACTAGTTAAGACTGGCTTTTTTTGTCATGTTAGCATATATAACACCGTACATAATTTGGAACTATGCCTTGTTTTAATAATCACTGTGCCTCTGACTTAGTTAAATAAATGTTGCAGAAAAAATGGCACCCTCAATTAATATTAATTTTTTTATTTAACTCACAATATGAATAAACTGATAACAGGCAATAGGCAACAATTTGTTTTTTAATTAGACTAGTAAAGGAACAAAAGTAGCATTATGATCTAAGATTTTAGGGGGACTTCTAAGGTAGGAAAGAGTGTGTGTGTGTGTGTGTGTGTGTGTGTGTGTGTGTGTCTTCCTAGGCTTTACTCATAAGCGTGTGTAATATTTTCCTTTAATATAGGTCAACTTCTACTTTTCTAATTATTTCCTATATATAAAGAGAGCTTGCATTTTCTTTGTTCCTCTTTCTAAAGTGCCTCAGGTGTCTAGCTCAGATTTTTCTAGGTCTTTTTGAAATTTCTTACTATTTAAGTTTATCCTTGGACATTGCTTTTATATAAATGTCTCCTAATTCAAAATGTCATTTCTTAACTGCAGAAATTTTCTTCAGCTTCTCTTCTGGAATAAATTCAAATTAAACTATTTTGCTCACCTAATTTTCTCCTTTGTGATTTTGTAGAATTCCCAAGATCTGAAGCAAAGTTAGAATGTTCTATTTAAATGGTAATCCCCATTCTGTTTAACCCATTTATTCATTTGGAGGAGTTTTTAGCTCTTATAATAGTAAGCACTTAATTGGTAGTAGAATGCAAGCTCTTTTTCTCTAAGTCACACTTGCCTCCTTTCTATGCATCATGCTTTTTCCCTCATCCTGCTGCTTGAAACCTTTCTCTGGGCATCCTCTCAACATCAACAGGCTCCGTTGTTAGAAACACTATTATTTCTTTTCCTCGCCTTTGCCAGCTTGCCACTGATCACTCCTTAGTGAAGACTGTTTCATCACTTTGGGGAGTACCTCCTCTGTGTAAAATATTGAAAGAAAGGCAAATCCTCAAGCGTGCAATCCCTACCCTTAGGGCATTTCTTACTTTGAAAGTAAGGAAAGAACACCAAGAGGTTGGGATTAAGTTTTTCAGTGGCTCTCATG